TTGCGCAAGAATGGTGTGAATTAAAAGGCAAAGAAAAATAGAATAGGTACGCACGAGTTCGGGAAGGGGCGAAGAAAAAACAGAGGTGGGGCTGAGATTACCATATGATCCATGGTGGTCAAAAGCATCAAACAGGAAGTGCTGTTCGTTTCTACTTCCTGAGTCACATACTGTGTCAACGGGCTCCACCCTTTGGTAGTGATATCCGCTGATATTAGACGGCACGCGTAATGTTCATTCACGGTGCCTTATACCTTCACTGTCTCTCTACCCTGCTATTTCAACAGCTACTTTTCTTTCGCGTGACTGTTCACTTCCTTGATGTCTCTCTTCGGCACACAAAAGAGCGCCATGTGGTCGAGAACACGCGGTGGGAGACTTTTCTTTACTCTCTACTTCCATTCGTGATCAAGCAGCCTGTCCTTGTTCCCAATCGTCGGATCACCGCGTACACAAAAGGGTCGTTTTCTCTTAGTGCTGCTGGGACTCATACAGTATGTGTACTCGGGCAGTATAGGATAATGCAGAGCACAGCCGGCGTCCCGGAGCGACATAGTCTCAGCGCGGGCGAGAATCACACGGCGCTCGAGACTCGTGCGCCCCAGTGAGATAAGCTGCGCACCATTCCCGGGCAAAAAGGAGAGGCGCGTCGATTGTGCGTCGAGTGAAAACAGCCACCGACGGCGAGGTCGTTGCCCGCGGTGAAAAGTACAGGCCTTAAAGTCTGGTGCGCAAAATCAGCCATGGGTACCGAGCTCACGGTAAGTGACTGAAATTCGCGTGCTGCCGCAGCACATCGCACACTGACGACTTGCTACGTACGATTCGTCGTGCGAACGATCGCTAGTATAGGGGGGGTACAGCGACAATGTAGACTGGGGAAGAGTGGTAAAAATATTTTGGCTAGCAGAACAAATGCCCACACCTGAAACTTTTTCAAGTAGTTACGTTCTCGTTGATTTCCTCTTTCCTCATGCAATGCTATAGAGAGCCAAGCAGCAAGGCCCAAGACATCGTTGCATACACACTGGCCTTTCCAGCTATTGGCCCATGAATACCAGCAGTGGTTACTGCTCTCGATCAAATCCCCGTGATAAAACCGTTTTCTTCTGGATATTCACTGCATGCATATCAATGTCAATTCCTCAATGCCTATGTAGTCTTCAAGCATTTGCCTTCAGGCAGATTTGCATGGACGACTATGGGCTATTATAGCATGAATATGTTCACCAATAAATTGCAACTGTCAACAGTCACAGTATTGTGATAACAATCATAAGGACAGTCTCGGCAGGTCTTCACCGTCGGTGTACTCAGTAGCGCCGTCGAAAATTTAGTATGATGGGAGTCCCTGCTTAAACCTGAATGCGGGCCGGACAAACACGGGTGGACCAGTGTCATTTCGCACTCTCTATTCTATGACAAAAAGAAATTTGCGGGAGACACGCGTGCCCCGGTATGCTACCCCCTGGCTACGCCACCACCGAACGTTTCTCTCTCTCTCTCTCTCTCTCTCTCTCTCTCTCTCTCTCTCTCACCCATATATATATATATATATATATATATATATATATATATATAAATATATATATTCAGGTAATTTTAAGAATTGTCCAAAGTTAAAATAACAAAATCTTTAATTAGTGGAGTTTGAGAGTGAAGTCACATGGGAGAATTGATGTCCTTTACGCGAAAAACCGATTGCTGTTTTGAGAATTCGCATCTATTGACACCTGGCATGATTCCAGGCTTCAGCCTGGACTTGCATGCATGGACTCACAACGTTCCTCGCACTACATAGCATACGGTGTTTCTTTTTTCCAATTGCGTTTTAAGCAGGGGCGTAGCTCTATGACAGAACGCCTTTTTGCCACGCAGACGTCGTTTGTTCACTCACCACTCCAACGGAAGACTATTTTTTTTTATTTACACCTATCCCGAATTTTCGCTCATGGACAACGCTGATTTTTCACTCTCAGCCTGCGAGATGAACACTGACGCCAGAACTTCTGCGAAGCTCTTTAACCCTGGTGCGTTAAAAAACAGGAAGGTCGACCAGACATGCGTCAGCACAGTCAGTTTAGTCTACGTGCTGTACCACTACGAGAAAAGAAAGAACTATACAACGAAAAACTGAATAAATCCCGTGTATAAGCGTGTTTCGCATCAGGCACTCTCACATGTTCTCTACAATCTCGTCGCTTCCCACTGCATGGTCATTTAACGTCACCACTGTAGGCATTGCTGCACTATGACTCCCAGCCTCCACAACAGAGAGGCACGTTGCGGTAGTCCGCAGTGCACAAAGACCCAGTAGCACCCACCAACGTTAAAGTCATTTCTAGTCATATCTGATGCAAGTTTACCGTTGCGTTTTCTCCTCACGTCAATTAGGGCGAAAGCCTAAGATCCACCATGAAACGCGAAAATTGACCGGCACTTCGGCGGCGTCCCACGCTGGCGGCGGTGCAAAGAAATCATCACGCAACACGTCAGGGATCGCCAAAACTTGTGACGTCATAATCACGTAGATATCATCACATGGCATTGTTTGGTCCAAGTTGGGCCAAAACGGGGGCAGTTCCAAGCAAGGTGAAGTGCGGAAAGTTTACAATTGCCTCCTATCCCAGAGGCAATGCAAGGCCACGTTGGTTGCGGAAATCTTTCGGAGAGTTGCGCTGGAGACTCAATGCATCAACTTACAAGAAATAATAAGAAGGCTTTCGCCTTCGAGTCAACGGAGACGGACGCATAAGAAACGGTGTGAGCTTTTTTTTTTATGAGCGCTATTTCTTTCCACAGATTAAGCAAGCCCGCCATGCATATGAACTCCCGCTTCTCCTATCCACATCATTCTCTTTTTCCTCTCATATTATTGCAATATCTCAGACCTTTAGTTGAGAGAAAGAAACAGAGAAAGAGAGAGAGATATGTGGAGAGGCAGGGAGATTAGCCAGAAAACAAGTATCTTTAGTGCCAATGTTTCATGCCGGCGGCACGAATTGCACTCGTGAAGCGATTTGCTGTCGGCCTTCGACACATGTGTCTCCACTGAGGGCTTCAATAAAGAAAGAGGCGAATCAACAGTACTGAACAAAACATTTATTCACAAAAAGATCGCCAACAGAAAACGAGCATTAATATTTCTACAAGTAAAGAGCAAAAATAAGATAAAAAAGAAATACTGCCGTACATCTTTCACTAAAGACCTTGAAGCTTGTGTCATGCACGGCTAGTATTGTGTAATGAAGGGCTAGAATTGAGCCTTGCATTACGTTTACGCTGTGCAGTATTCAAGATATCGTACCAATGAGAAGAAGGATCTTGTTGTGTTTCTCAGAATGGATGAGCGAAAAGTGATTTCATTTTCCTACAGATGATGTGCACTGCTTAGTAAAGCCATTACCGAGAAACGTTAATTTTCTGGCAGCGCTGTCACAGTAGTCCACACTAAATTAAACATCGCAAATTGTCCACATGCACACTCCACCACTCTTGGAATGCCATCAAATAAACGCACACTGAACTAAATATAAGAGAACGGCATCAAAAATAAATGATACTAAAAAGGAATGCTTTCAATCCCTCCAACAACGTTACAGACCCTGTGTTGCAATCTGTGCCAAAGACACTATCGCGGAGAACCTGCCGCTGTAAAGTTCAGTGACAGATTAAGTCCCCCAGGCTTGTTAACAGTACGCACCACTTTCGATTACGCTGTGAGACGAAATCGTACGTGCACAACGGCTGCTCTGAGAAGTAACTACAAAGATTTGACGACACCTATTCGTGAAATGGGGACAACGCTTGTGCAGTCGGCAGCAACTGCATGCAAAATGCATGTAAGAAAGGAGAATGACAGATACCATACAGGTGCACACAAAAGATAAGTAAGGCCGTATGTTTCAACGAAATTGTCCTGTATTCTGAATAAAAGGGCTTTTGATCACTGTAATGGCGAATGAAAAAATAATGATGGAAAGCTTTCCTGTAGTAAAAGATGATCAGTTTTGTAATACACTGCATTAGGTTGAAAAGTTGTTTAAAACTCTCAAGAAAGCAACGAACTTAAGATGAAAATCCGTTTACTTCTCTCGAATGTGCTTTCATGAATGTAAAAAGCTGTAGCTATTACTTAAGCCGCCAGTTGTAGATCATTCATGTGGGAGGGAAAAAGGAAGGAGTACTACATGAATTTCGTAAGCTCTTTGAAATGCGTGGCACCGGGTTCGCAGTACATTTCTTTCATAAAAATGTTGTTTGTCATCGTCGAATGCTAGCCATCACCTTGTTTGTGGTCCCTTTTTTTGGTGAAACCCGCCATGACCGTTAGTAACAAGGCCACGGACAGCTTGTTGAATGTATGGAATTATCATGCCCGTGCAGCTCAAGAGAGAAACCTCCAGATTTGTTTTTCACGAAAACAAGGCCCCGGAGACAAAGATAAACTCCAGCACGCAAACAGAAAAAACAATAAACGAAGGCATAATGCGTGTGTCTAATGTCTGCGCATGTCAAACAAACCTGCGATACATGGCATCTTTGTTAAACAAATGCCCTAGAGTAATATTTCACGATGTATTTCTCCCAAAGTAAGGACCGCTAAGCATTTATTTGCATCTGTAAGCCCCGTAATTATCATAAAGCTGAATTCCCGTCTAATCTGACTTGCATTCAGTTTCACTTCTCTTCTCTGAAGCTAGAAAATGTAAAGCTTATTACTGATTTTATTTCACCCACCAGGAAACAACCAGCCTAATGGTTTAAACAACTTCAAAAATTAAGCTCAGCGTGAGGCAAGGCTCTCGAATCAGCTTTGTGGATCATGAAGACAAATCAGTACTCATCTTCCTTAACCGTCCTGGAGCGCTAAATTCTACAGATTCTGTGCTTCTCGTACTCTTCCACAAAGAAAGGCGCGCACAAAGACACCGATGACCCTACGTGACGTCACATAGAGGGCGCATGGGTGCGTTATGCCCCGGTTCACTGCAGCACCATCATAGGTGGCTCGAGTCTCCGGTCTTCCGGAAGCGTCCGTTGGTGGGCCTGCCGCAGTCGGTACTGGCACTCAGCTCGCCGGTTTGCGTGGAACCGCTGCGCCTCGCGGTGCCGTGGGCCCTGGCCTTGATGAAGGCCAACGGCGTCACGCCGCGAGCGATGTCGGCCACGATGGCCGAGGCCGGTCTGGACGGCTTCCGCGCTCCCGCGCCGCTCTCGGTCCCGCCACCGCCAACGGCGCCCGAGCGCCGCGAAGGCTTGCGGAAGAGGCGCGTCCGGAGCAGCATCGCTCCTACCCGCGTGAACGGCATCTCCACGATGACGTAGAAGAACGTTGACAGCACCAGCGTGATGAGGAAGTGGCCGCAGAAAGCGTACACCTGCGCAAAGCGAGCAAGGCCGGAAAAACAGAAAGTGGCCAAGAGACGATCCTACAAGACTCGCGACAAGTACGTGTCTACACACTAAGCCGATACTTTCGCTTGGCTTGATCACGTTTCGCCCTTCATTCCTGTCACCAAGAGAATCGTGCGGAGGAAGAGGGAGCACTTACTCATCCAGTTATTTTCGACGTACCACTCGGCAGCAATACGAGTGCCCACACAGAGTGTGCAATATATAAACAACTGAAAGCTAATGCGTGTCTTTTTCTGCCGGGTAAGGTAACCCCACAATATTCGCAGATGTTAGGCAGTAGACTTAGAGTTGCACGTAAAACTCAGTCCTTTCCAAAATTAAGCATTCTTAGGACGAACCTAGAATCGCCACTCTAACGAGAATATGGGCTGGAAAGAGTCAGTTATGTTCATTTGAAACAAATTGAATTCTGACTGGTGTTGGACGGGCTCTTGATATTGTTGCGGTACTTGGTCAACCTATTTTGAAGGGAAGTTTTGCACGTATTATGAATAAGACTACAATTAACTGAAAGTTATTTATAAGAAAAAAAAACGCTGGATAAAAGCGAAATCAGCAGCTGGTGGCAAAGACAGTCAGCTGACTGCTTACAATATCTGTTGATATCTGCGATATAACGTATGAATGCTCTCAAATGGCATTCAATTCTTCATGCAGTTTGTAGGCTCTAAACCCAAGCATGACAAATTCAAAATGTTACCATATCCTTCCTTGTTGTACAATATAGAAGGCATATCGAATTTTAATTGCTGTGGGTGCTCGTGCCTGACAATTCCATCCACCTGCTTGCGGCCTAGTGCATCTAGCCCTATAAACACAATCGGTTCGTGACCAAGACGATGAAGCAGATGAAGGAAGAGGAAAAGAAAGATAGCCCATCAGATCTCACGCACAGAACAGCACCGTGGGAATGTGTATCGAACCGCGATACTCCCATACAAATGCATCCAAACGCGAGCACGGCCAGGAACACAAGCGTGATGGCTTCGCTTGCGTATAGCGGTGAGGCGCGGCACTTTAAGCGGCGCGAATTCAGCACCAAATGCGTGGACGCGGTTCGTTGCCGTATTGCATGTGGAGCAGCGAGACGGTTCAGTGCACTAAAAGGTGTAACGTTTTCCTCAAGCTGTGATTCCTGCCGCGCTTTTAGCAACTTGCATCCCTCAATAAAGCGAAGTTGCAACTATACCTCCCACAACTGCTGTGAACATGGCAGCGAACTCATCGTGAAAAGTGTACGTGTCTTACGTTTTGTCGGATCTTCCTCAAAACAGACCAGCCTGTGGTGGAAGCGTTTTTTATTACTGCACTAAAAAGAGGCACAGGAAAGTTGCAAGAGAATAAAAAAAGGGGACACCGATATGGCTAGGTTAACCAGAACAAAGCGTCAAAAAGTAGGTGCGACAGGGAAAGCACAAAAGATGCTTGATTTGCTAAAGCGACAAGCGCATCTTCATTAACGATGTACTACTGATTTCTAGCACAAGGGCAGTGAGTAGTTACTTTGTCAAGTTATACACGACAATACGTATTTCAGTTACAGGCCACAATGACATTGTGCCACTTGTGACATTACTCCTCTGTGTGACTCTTTGGTTCTATGCGACAACAGGCATGTGCATCACTGAACTTCTCATGTTCGTAATTATTACTGCAGCACAACCAGAAGCTAAAACAACGACACAACATTTCATTAGCTACGTATTCATTAGGTTGACAGAAGCAGCGGGCTATTTTGAAGTGTTCCACGTGACCGAAAAAAAGTATTTAAAGCAGGAAAAAAGAGAAACATGAGTCATCTGGTCAGTACGGAAACAAAGGACGCATATTCAAGCCAAAACGGAACGTGGAGGGCCCTTTCTAGCACGTTCACTATAAGTATCTCTCCACAAACTGGCAGCGCTGAATGATGCTCCCACGTTCAAATGCACATATGTACTATATACCTTATAATGTAGATGAGGGGATGACCACCAACTTAGCGCAGTTGTAGAGCATCGGACGCGTTCATCGAAGGTCGCAGGCTCTGTCCGTGCCTGTGGCAAGTTATCCTTTCATCCACTTTTATTTCTTCACATATACTTACAATTACTTCTAATAACATCCCCTACACTTTTCTTGGCGTGATCTTCAGTTAGATCTCAGTAATATTGTGTCAAACAAAGAAAACAAGCCCTTAAATTTACTATTATTTCCCACAAATGGGTGTGGTCACACTTCGACAACCAAAAATACGACGTCTTTTCTTCCACGCAGTCAGTTTATTAATGTGAATGACATGAAGACGACTATATACTTTTTGAGAAGCGTCTTATTTTTTCAGTAAATGTTAAAACGTACTTGTACGTGTCAATAAAAATGATTAAAAATCACACGTTCGACGTATGGCAGGCGCACTCATGAGCAAAAGTATGCGTACCGTGGGAGCATGTGCTGAAATCCCTGTTCACGCTGTAGAGGCGCAAACTATATCCCATCAAGAGCACTAATATGGCGGAATTGCTGTTGAAAGCATAACTCTGACAGGATTCGTCAGAGAAAGGCTCTTGACATCAAACGGCTCGCCACCTGACGGCGCAGGCCGAAAAAGTGTAGGCACGGCAATGGACTCTATGCTTTTGCTCATGTGTGTACAGTGTCAATTTTTATGAAAGGGAACACGGGAACGCGTGGCCTGCACACTGCGACAGCTGCTGGCAGCGCGTTCAAGCGGGAGCGATAGCAACGACAGTCTCTTTTCGCGTTATCTGGTGGCGAGCGAAACAACATTTCCTTGCTGATATGAAACCAGCGGTAAGATTGCAACCCCATTCCCTTTCAAGACGATTACGTGAGAGCCGGTAATCGCCTTGAAGGGGGAGGGGTCGCAATCTTGCCGTTCTATATCAGCAAGGAATGGTTGTTTCGCTCGCCACCAGATAACGCGAAAAGAGACTGTCGTTGCTATCGCTCCCGCTTGAACACGCTGCCAGCAGCTGTCGCAGTGTGCAGGCCACGCGTTCCTGTGTTCCCTTTCATAAAAACTGACACTGTACATATGGCAGCACATATGCCAGCATATAACAGTACATATGACAGGTAGCTAAACTGCAGTCATTTAGAGTATCCTCGATGATCACTGCCTCGAAGTTAGCAGAAAATGTGAGATCAGCCCACAGACACTAGACGATGGATTGTCTTTCGAATCACGCGTCATAGAAGTCTTCCCACATTCACACTTTCTCTACATCCACATCTTTCTATAAGCAGAAAGAAAACACTCGTGCATACAAGGACTCCGGCAATTACTTCACATCAGGTGATCATGTGACGCCTACATTTGAATCTACACGTCAGCTTACTGATGCCAAAGAATCATACATCAATTGAAGCGTAACATATTGCATGCTTCCTTACTTTTTTTAATAGCGTTAGCACATAGCGACTATATGTTTCTCAACAAACACACCGGAAATCGCCACCAGTTAAGTGGAGGGTCAGAGTTGGTTTGAAAGTTATGAAAAACCCAATAAAAAGGAGGTAGTTGTTCAAGTGAAGAGTTGCATAGAATATACAGGGGATTTCAAGAAATATGTCCAATAATATTGAAAATTTACAGAAACGAGGTTTACGGCGACAGAGGGAATCTTAAAATGCGTACAGACATTATTTAAAGAAATAATTATAGAAAACAAAAGAAATAAATTTTACCATTGGAATTCAGCGTTAACTCAAATGGGCGAATAAAAGTTTTTCCTGTGAATAGTTCAATGCCTCCTTGAAATTTCTGACAGGCGGCCACTGGCAATCATCACAGAGAGATGAAATCTGGTTAATTTATCTGGTGAAACCAAAACTGACGCTCCAAACAATGCGTCTACTATTCACTTAGAAAACACCCTCAATGACGTCACTGCCTCCCTCACATTAGAGGAGGAGGAGGATAAGCGAGCGTCGGTAACACGGTAGTCGATAAGCGGCCATATGGCAGGAAAGTGCTGCCATGAAAGTGATAAAACGAAATATCTAGATTGGCGGTTGAGAACGGCGAGAAAAACAATGTCTTCATTGAAGCTGTTCTCCACGTGAGTGATGGATGTGCTGTTCGGTGCGTCGGTTTCAGTTTCGTCCGATAGATTAGCGTGATTTACATCGCTCCGCGGTTATTACCAGAGGCCGCTTTTCAAAAATTTCAAAGTGGGTAAGGATTCGTCGCAGGAAGGTCTTAAGCTTGCCAATTGTCTCGACCACTTACTTCCACTGTTGAAAAAGTTATTTGTTTTATTTTCCATTATTATTGCCCTGATTGATTTCTATACGCATGTTAAGATGCCTTCTGCCACATCATACAGGTAATGTCGCACGTAATACGCACGTATCTCCATTTGTTTCTTTTTTCAATAATATAGGACACATTTCTTGAAGTACCTTAAATATTATAATTATATTGAAGCATAAACTTAGCAAACAAAAGAATATAGTAATCATCAGGACACATAATGAAAATTGTTTTAATGCGTTCAGTGAGAAAAAAGATGGCATTGTTGCGGGTGAGTGCCAACAGTATGGCACATAACTACAGAACAGTCTCACCTTATTCATCTGTTCAATCACTGATGAAAGACGATGAACGAGCCAGTCTCAGTGGACTGTCTGCTAGGGGCTAGAACCATTGAATACACTTAAATATAACGTTAGAATTGGCCATGGTTTCTAATATTATTATTATTATTATTATTATTATTATTATTATTATTATTATTATTATTATTATTATTATTCTGAATGGCACACAAAACAAATATATCTATCCGGATATTATTTAGAAGCGAACGCACAGATTCAGGCCACCTCGTGACAGTGGCTGTATTTCTGCTATTGCGAAAAGTAATTGATCAATGATGCAGTTCAACATATTTTTCTCGTGCTCTAAAGCACTCGGATGTAAGATTGGCGCTAAGCTGCCGATTTGGCTATTTACGGTGTGTATTGAAATACAGCATCACTCTACATGTGCGAGATCACCATTAGATTGTGTATATATATATATATATATATATATATATATATATATATATATATATATATATATATATATATATATATTGCGATAAAGTGACGTAGAATTGAAATGCCGTTCAGAAAATCTAGAAAACTTCCTCCTGTGGCCACCATTACTCGAAGCGTATTGCAATAAATAGACAGATAAAATAGGAAAACATATGTCGTTAGGCCGATTGAGCTCATCCTAAGTGTTTCCATGCAGCACGTTGTTATCAAAGTGAATGACACTGAATTTCACGCTTTAGCTATGATTGTCGTTAAAAGTACAGTAGATCATTCGTTCCGCTAGCTTCATAAACCACACACTCTGCGGAATGAATGATCAAGAACACTGTTTCCAGAGCTCAGAGACGTAGACAGGATTTCACTTCGGAGTAGCGAGAAAAGGGGTTTGTTTCTTTGATATGAATATGCGAGTGTATTTTTGTAGGTATCTGTATGTGTTTGTATGCATACACCAGTTGAAAAATCTCAGAGAGAGTAGTACCACCTCCGCTGGTTTAGCTTATGTCAAATCGATAAGCAAGAACAGCAGGTAACCAACGTGTCTTTTATGCAAAGTCACCACCGCTGACCACCCCAGTACTAGGAAAAATATACTCAAGGTACCCTATTGTGATGTACGTACACGTTGTGTCTGTTAAAGTGATTGTTAGGAGCGAAAACGTAGCCTAACTTAACAAATTTTGTTTGCGCAAACGGAAGAGTGCATACCTTCTCGTACTGACTGTAATAGATGAGGTCTCTGGTCCTGCTGGAGTGGTAGAGAATGACCAGCGGATGCATAAGGTACGCCATGAAGGCCAGGTTCCCCAGTGCGTTGAACGGCTTCCACGACAGCAGGGATTCCAGGAAACCTATGCAGGACGCCATGCACCACTCAACAGAGATATATTGAATCACTGGCATTCAGATGAAATTAGAATAAAAATATCTAAACCCCACCGGGATTACTAGACAAGCTCTGACCTGTCTAGTCGTTACGGGGCTCAAGGAAAAAGTAATCGAACCACACATGATCATCTGGTTTTCTACTCACAAGGGAGAAATCAACAGTGCTCCCGCGAACCTCAACGAATCTGCCCATAATGACTTACGAAGAGTTGCGAACCGTGCAGCCACGCGGCAAGAACATGCAAAGTTCTCATACTGCGGAGATCACCTCCTCTCTTACAAAGAGCTAACTAAGCACTTCTACCTACCTAGGACGTAGGGTTTATCCCCCTCCTCGTGACCTACGTGTCTGCAGAAGAGCAACATAGCCGCTGGTCCACCGTGGCTGACCACCACCTCTCCGCACCGTAAACTAGAGCTCAGGTCATTACACTTATGCGCTTACATACATGAACATACCCGAACTCACTGCTAATTAACAAGATTTATGCGGACACCATGCTATAAATGTCACGACCACAGATCTCATTCATATGTCATAGCGTTGCTGCGCGTTACGCAGAGACAAGGAAAACATTGAAGAGCGGCGGGACACAGTTCTACGCAGTGAGTTTATGGGCAGTCCAACGACCTGCGAAGTGGTCTCAACGGGCGAGTTACCCGCTTCGTAATAGGACAATAGAGGGACCTATTAAACCTCAATGTATTTATTTCACCTATCCATCTACTACCATATAATGATGATTGATCTTTATCACCCAAAAAGTAAAAATAACGATATGCTATCAAAAAAAATCCCATGTTTGAAATAAATATACATATATCTGAGAAACGCAAATTAAGTTCGCATACAGACCATCATGAAAGAAAATGAGGATGACATCCTTTTACAGAAGAACCAGAAGAACCTTTTACAGGAAAACCATGTTTATAGATTTGTATTGTTCTTGGCTTAATTTAGTAACAAGATTACGACAGTGCACAAATATCTACATTCTTAAGTTAAAGTGTGTTCTACGCATAAGGATAGTAAAATAAAGACCTTCGAAACAGTCTTGAGACTGAAACAGATATAATGGTGTCGTTGACACAATGGAATACTACCAAAGTGATGTGCGGAACGAAACAAATAAACAAACAAACAATCAAGTAAGCACGCAAGAAAGCAAACAAACAAACAAAACAACTAGATGCTGTCAACAATAGACTATTGGGTGAGTTGGCAGTACTTAAAAAACATACAATACAGAGAAAAACAAATCAATCTCACAACATAAAAGCAATGCACCATAAAAGGCTATCTATCTATCTATCTATCTATCTATCTATCCATCTATCCATCTATCCATCTATCCATCTATCCATCTATCTATCTATCTATCTATCTATCTATCTATCTATCTATCTATCTATCTATCTATCTATCTATCTATCTATCTATCTATCTATCTATCTATCTATCTATCTATCTATCTATCTATCTATCTATCTATCTATCTATCTATCTATCTATCTATCTATCTATCTATCTATCTATCTATCTATCTATCTATCTATCTATCTATCTATCTATCTATCTATCTATCTATCTATCTATCTATCTATCTATCTATCTGTCTGTCTGTCTGTCTGTCTGTCTGTCTGTCTGTCTGTCTGTCTGTCTGTCTGTCTGTCTGTCTGTCTGTCTGTCTGTCTGTCTGTCTGTCTGTCTGTCTGTCTGTCTGTCTGTCTGTCTGTCTGTCTGTCTGTCTGTCTGTCTGTCTGTCTGTCTGTCTGTCTGTCTGTCTGTCTGTCTGTCTGTCTGTCTGTCTGTCTGTCTGTCTGTCTGTCTGTCTGTCTGTCTGTCTGTCTGTCTGTCTGTCTGTCTGTCTGTCTGTCTGTCTGTCTGTCTGTCTGTCTGTCTGTCTGTCTGTCTGTCTGTCTGTCTGTCTGTCTGTCTGTCTGTCTGTCTGTCTGTCTGTCTGTCTGTCTGTCTGTCTGTCTGTCTGTCTGTCTGTCTGTCTGTCTATCTATCTATCCAAAAGTAGTATACGGAGAGTCTGAATGAAACTGTGCCCGGCCACGGTGGTCTAGTGGCTAAGGTACTCGGCTGCTGACCCGCAGGTCGCGGGATCAAATCCCGGCTGTGGCGGCTGCATTTCGGATGGAGGCGGAAATGTTGTAGGCCCGTGTACTCAGATTTGGGTGCACGTTAAAGAACCCCAGGTGGTCAAAATTTCCGGAGCCCTCCACTACGGCGTCTCTCATAATCATATGGTGATTTTGGGACGTTAAACCCCACAAATCAATCAAACCAATGGCGTATAGTTTGACGTCCTGTAAAGGTAACTTTACACTGCACTTAATCAAATAACTAAGATCAATTATGCAAATATATTATTATTCCCTTTACGACCAAGTATGTTTCGGTGCGTTGTAGAAAGTATTGCAAAACCATTGAGCCAATTGCTTTGTGGCTGCGTACATGTAGAGTGTTTCTATCTGACGAATTAAGAAATCCTGCCAATCATGAAATATAAGAACACTGAGACTGCACTCGTGCGCTGCGCATGCAGCGCTATTACTATGCTTCAAACGAAAGAATCGTGTGTGTCATAGAGAACAGATAACCATAGTTATCGTCAATTACGTGTGACACCTTCATAGTGATGCACATTCTTTCGATATTTATACACTGCGAGTTTGCCTCAGTGGTCCAGGTGACAATTATTGGTCGTAGAGCAGCCAGGCTCTCAGCAAAACGCGTCGGTTAAGCTCACTCTCAAAAACGACAGCGCGTTAGGTTCTTTCTTTCGTGACATGCGCCACTGGGCATCATCTCGATGCTCAAGGGAAGGTGTAAGGAAAAAAACCCCAAAAACAATATAGCAACCACACAGCTTATACAACGCAGAAGTACAAGAATGGTAGTGTCCAACACGCTCAGTCAATGAACGATGAGGCGACGTCATTAACACAAATGAAAACAAAAAACAAATAAACAATAGGGGAAATTATAGATGTGAAAAATTACGCTTTATGCGCATGACATGAACTATGTCTGAGTTCAGTTGTTCTCTTTGTGTTCGCGTTGGCGATGCAGTGTCAGGAACCACTTCGTAGCTTATGTCATTCACGTGGCGTAGCGCTTTGTAGGGACTGAAGTATCGTCTAAGGAATTTGTCTGAGAGGCCGCGGTGACGAACAGGTGTACAGAGCCAAACTTTCTCTCCTCTACTATAGGACACGTCTTTGTGGTGGGTGTTGTAGCTCCGTGTATCTGCCTGCTGTTGCAGACCGATGTGCAGCCGCGTGAGCTGCTGAGCTTCTTCGGCACGCTCTGCGAATTCTTCAGCGTCAGTTGTTAGCTGATCAGCATCTTCACAGGGAAGCACAGCGTCTGACATCGTCTAAACTTCGCCGCCGTAGAGTAGGCGAAACGGCGTGAATCGCGTTGTCTATTGAACGGCGGCGTTATACACGAACGTGACGTAAGGCAGGATTCAATCCCATGTTTTATATTGACGTCGATGTACATGGAAATCATGTATGCGACTGTCTTGTTTAGATTCTCGGTAAGTCCATTGATCTGCAGATGATAAGCGGTTGTCTTTGATTGATTGATTGATTTGTGGAGTTTAACGTCCCAAAACCACCATATGATTATGAGAGACGCCGTAGTGGAGGGCTCCGGAAATTTTGACCACCTGGGGTTCTTTAACGTGCACCCAAATCTGAGTACACGGGCCTACAACATTTCCGCCTCCATCGGAAATGCAGCCGGCACAGCCGGGATTTGATCCCGCGACCTGCGGGTCAGCAGCCGAGTACCTTAGCCACTAGACCACCGTGGCGGGGCATGTCTTTCGATGCCGGGTGTTGCTCAGACAGAAAACTTGATTCATAGCTGCACAGCGAACGCTGTACCTGTGTCTTATTACTACCGAGGGAGCACCATGACGCAGTACGATGTAAATTCATGAAGAACTGTGCTACCTAAGAAGCTGCGACTCGTGGCGTCGCTTACGTCTCGGCGTAGCATGTCAAATAGTTTGTTGCCACAATTACCCATTTGTTGACGTGAGTTTAGAGAGAAAAAAGGCCTATAATATTCATGCCGACTTGGTCAAATGGTTTGCGAGGTGGGTCAGTTGGTTGGAGAAGCCCTGCTGGCTTATTGGAGGGTGTCTTACGGCACTGGCATTACCGACAGCCTTTGACGTATCGCTTGACGCTTGTCGAAAGCCCGGGCCAATAGTATGCCGCACCTACTTTGGGAGTGTTCGTGAGTAGCAGTCTAGGTGGCCAGAGTAATGTGGTAGATTAATTCACCTCGGCACGGGACAGTGAGCGGCTAGCATAGGCTACTGCTTTTTTCTCTCCGTGTTGATGCTGGCTGGGCACTGCGCCGCGGCCGATGTTGCTGGCGTCAGTATGTAGCCTCATCATCAGCAAAATGGGCAAGAACGGGGGCTGACTGCATAAACTGTCGAAGTTCGGCAAGAGCAGCCTGCTGCTCACTAGTTCAGAAAAATTGTCGTTTCTTGCAAGCTGAGTCAGGAGTACCGCGATATTCGAAAAGTCTTGAAGAAATTGTTCACAATAAGCTCACAAGCCCAGGAAGCGCCGGACAGCCTTCTTATCGTAAGTAACTGGAAATGCGGCTTCAGCGGTATAGCTTGTCAGGATACGAACGGAATCCTCTGGGGCTCACATAATGGCCGAGGAACTTCAACTCTTCGTAACCGAAGTGACACTTTTCTGGTTTTAGTGTTAGATCCATAGATCAAATAGCTTCAAGCACACTACGCTGGTGGTACAGATGTTTCTCGCAAGTGTGAGAAAAGACTACATCGTCCATGTAAACAGACAAGTCTGCACTTCAACCCAGTGAGTAAAGTGCCCATCATTCTCTGAGATGTTGCCAGGACTGAACACAAACAAAAAAAAAACTCTAAATTCGTAAAAGAAGTCAGGAGTCACA